GTTTTTCAAACGACAGACAAACGTTTGTCTGGAATGTTTCAAACGCCAGACAAACGTTTGTCTGGAATTTTTCAAACGACAGACAAACGTTTGTCTGGAATTTTGCAAACGCCAGACAAACGTTCGTCTGTAATTTTTCAAACGTCAGACAAACGTTTATTTTTCAAACGCCAGACAAACGATTGCCTGGTTTGAAAGACGTGTTGTGAACTCGTGGTGCCTGCCCATGGGGCATATACGCGCGTTGGCCTGTGGTTTTGAACCATCCCCCCTTTCCACGTTCCCCTCGAAGGTCAGACCCTCGTCTTCACAGGCATCCAGTCTGGAAGGTTCCAGATCACAGGAAATGGTGCGTCCCAGTGCGTTTACATGGGGATGGCGGGGAGATCCTTACAAACGATTCGATGATGGTGACAACGATGTCTGGATTGCTTGCAAGGGGTGGGACCAAAGAGCTATCCCTGCTCATGGGGGTGTGGCCGTATAGTATCACAGCCAAACAGAATCATCATGGGCACGACACGTGGCGCGATATTTGGCACGTCCTGCGCTGGAGCCTGGACGCGCTAGCAGCAGGCCACCATCTGTATAAAGATACAGTTGGCTTTGCCGCGCCCGCCCGACACCCCGCCCCCCCTCCCTCACCCCACCACGCCCCATCATTGTTTCATGGATTTATGCGCCGCAAAGCCCCCCCTCACCCCACCACGCCCTCATTGCGTATTTTTGTCCAGCCACAAGATGGGGGAGTTTCAGCCTGGGCCTGCTTAGCGCAGGAGGCGGTTTGGAACGACCAGGAGTTTCGACCTGGCTCCGCTCGCGCGAGTTTAGCGGGCACGCCACTGTGCAGCGCTGAGGCACCGTTCCGTGGGTGGGTGTACGCCATCATGGGAGACTTGGAGTTTTTTTCCAACCAGCTTGGAGCCCCGAGCCCCAACTCTATTGAGATATGCTGGGTATGCGATGGGAACCGAAGCACCAACCCGTGGAACGACTTCGTCAAGGTCCGAGGGTCATGCAAAACACACTGCACTGGCCCATCCCCCTAGACAAATTTGAGCTCGACACCCCGCGCATTCAACCATGACAAACAATCCCTGGGTGGCGGGGGCTGGCGTGGAAATCAAACAAAGGGGGTGTGCGCGGGTGGAGAGGTCCTTCGGGGAATTATGCAATTCCTTGTTTATGTCTACATAGGAGCGTACGCCCAACCACTGGATGTGCCGACACCGTTCTGTGCCGTATCCGTTTGCGCATCCAATATTTTTGGTTTGGGGCGTGAGGTCACAGATGCTTGCTATAGACGCCATGCACACTATCGACGGTGGCGTGACATCACACGTGCTCGGCAACATTTTTTTCGAACTGGTATATGATTACTTGCCAGGGCGTCCTCGGGCCGCAATTACAACACTGTGGGTCAACATCAAACAACTATACCGTGATCTCGGTACGCTTGGGCACAGGTTGCCATTCAATTGTTGATGCACCCCCGCCGCCCTAACACTTCATATGGCACGCGTGAAATCCACGTTTGCGTTTTGTGATGGGGGGAGGGGTTTGGGAACCTGGGCAGTGGGCAAGATCAGAGGAGGGGACGGGGATATCTGATCGAACGCGTGGTTTTCATTGTGGGCACACCTTCGTTCCCTGGCACTCGGGTCAGGAGGCGGACGTTTTGGATTAACTTTTTTCGTCGGTGACGCGAAGGCTCCCAAGACGAAGTACCCTTGCATGACTGCAAAAACCAAGATGGCAGCACAGCGTGCATTGGTGCCAGTTGCAGCGGCGCTCGCTGCATCGCACAACGACGGTTCAGTTCAGAACAAAATGAGGGAGTCTTGCGTTGCAAATCTCAAACGCTTTTACGATGTGATAGAGGCCGCAGGTATGTATCTCACGCCCCGTGAGCACGACGAGTGCATTAGTGCTGCGGAAAAGACGCTGGTTTTCTACGGCGCACTGGCAGCGGATGCAAAGGCAAAAAAGCTATTGAGATGGAGCATTGTAAATAAACACCATTTTTTTACCACATAGCAGAATCCACGAGATACATAAATTGCCGCCAACTGTGGTGCTACCAAGCAGAGGATTTCATGCGCCACATAGGAAAGGTTGCAACTAGTGTGATGATGGGCTCGTCAATACTGAGCCTTTCAAAGAAAGTGTGCGAGCGCTGGCGGATAGGCTACTAGTTCAATGCTTCGCGTGACCGCCCGTCTCGCACGAAAACGCGTTATGTTTTATATTAGGTTAGAACCAACACAACATGAGTTCGCGGCCTGGGGTGCCCGTTGTTTTCGGGCAGGCGGTTTTCGATTTGACGCGTCATTTCGATTAGCGCTGCTTGTTTCGGCATTTTGCCGATCGACCGCAGGGCGGCGCACGGGCGCCGCGCGGAGGGATGATCATAGCACAATCTTCGCTTCTGCTCCTCTTTCCTCCTCCTCCTCCTCCTCCCCCTCTCCTCCCCCTCTCCCTCTCCCCCCCTCTCCTCTCCCTCTCCTCCCCCTCTCCTCTCCCTCTCCTCTCCCTCTCCGTCCTCCCCCTCCCCTTCTTATGTTGTTTCCAAGCGGGACCAGTCCCCCGAGCTTCTGAGGAGTGACCGAGGCTTCTGAGACGTCTCCGCTGCTTTCGAAGTTCCCAAGAACAGGAAATCGTCAGAGGGCCCCTGAACTTCTGAGACGTTTCTCCCGTCTGGAGAAGGAGGACGGGGAAAGGAGGAGAGGTGGAGGAATAGGAGGAGAAGGGGAGAAGGAGGAGAAGGAGGAGGAAAATGAGGTGGAGCTTATCTTGTCCTGAGCGTCCATGATTGACCATGTTGTCATTCCCGTGGCATAACCGACGCACATGATGATACAATTTAAAGTGAACTCGATGGCAGTAATGACATCGTGATTGAGATAGACTCGGTGATGATTAGATTCCTGGTAACCTCTCCAACGATTAAGCTAAGTAGTATGATGATGCGATCGACGATTCAAGTGATGCTGATGTTTGGTATGAATGCTAAGAGTAACGAAGGTGATGGTAATGTGTTGGCACTAGGGGGCGTACAATAGTTGGGAAAATGGGCCAGGCCAATCATGCGACGTCTGGCGTTTGCCAAACGTCAGGCCGAATCTGCGCCCCATTTTTGGTTTTGCCGCGACCCATTTTCAGAGGCATGTCGCGACCCATTTTTGAAATCGTCGCGACCCATTTTTGGGTTCTCCCCAAGGTCCCGCGGGGCCCCATTTTTAGCACTCAGCCGGCTGAGCCCCATTTTTGAGGCACGTTTCATCAGTGCCCATTTTTTTGGGTATCGGAGCATCTGGGCTTCGGGCCTGCCCGGAGTACCTCTTGAAGGCTTCTTGGGCCGTCTTGACGGCCTCTTGGAAGCTTTTTGGGCTGTCTTCTGACATCTTCGGGCCCTCTTGGGCCGACCTGGTGGTTGTTTATCTGACTTGGGGGAATCCTGCACCCTCCCGGGCCGTCTGGAAAGCCATCTTGGACCATCTGCGGCCCGAAAACCGACCCGCGCGTTGAGGGCGGCTTTTTTTCGAGAGGCCAGCGCGCTCGGCGAAACCCCAAGGGGATTTTCCTTTGGAGAAGAACCAAAACCACGGCTTCAGACGCACAGCACGCCAGGATGTTGGCATCCGCTTCCATCGGCTTTCCGACGGCCCAGAACGGCCCCGCCGCCCCCCAACATCGTTTCAAAATCGGCCAAGAGGCCTCCAAGGCAGCCCCAGAACGGCCTAAGAGGCCCCCAAGACGGCCCCTTGAGAGCTCCAAGACGGCCCAAGAGGTTTCCAAGACGCCCGAATTGGGCTTCCGAGACGGCCCTGATGCATCCAAAGGGGGGCCCAAGTCGGTGCAGAGATGGCCCCGAGACTGCCACCGACGGCGTCAGACGGGCCACGAACGCGGTAAGACGGCCACAGACGCCCCCACGAAAACCGCAAGAGGCCCCCCCCGGGAGGCCCCCCAAAGGCCCCCACGAGGCCTCTAAGAGGCCCCCAAGAAGCTCCCAGGAGGCCCCGCGAGCGCCCCAAGAGGCTCCCAAGATGCCGCCTCCTCCTCCTTCTCCTCCTTCTCCTCCTCCTCCTCTTCCTCCTCCTCCTCATCCTCCCCATCCTCCTCTTTCGGCGTCCCCATCGAAAGCGTTTTTTCTTTTCGCGTGGTAGAGTGCTCAGGTGGGACAACAGTGGGTGGACCACAGCTTTCAATCCCGAGAGCTCGATAGATCCCGCGGCCCACCGCAGATTTGACTACGAAATTACCCTGTCTGTGGGATGCAAAAAACAATCGGACAAGGTCTGATTATTGTTCTGTGGTCACGTGGCTTCCAGGAGCTCCGCCATGGAGGGCGCTTCATCAACCTCATCGTCATCACCAGCTTCATCATCATCATCATCATCATCATCGCCATCGTCATTATCAGCGCCACCGCCATCATCATCACCATCATCGTCATCATCATATCCCTTCCTCTCCTGATCCCCCCTTTCATCCTCCCCCCAGACTCCCCCAAATAATTTCCACGACGGCTGGGGGGCGCGCATTCCGATAGCGCCCCCCCCCCCCCCCCCCCCCCCCTCCCCCCCCCCCCCCCCCCCAGAATTTCCACAGCGGCTGGGGAGGGGGGGGGGGGGGGGGCATTATTATCCGATAGCTTGGCCAAGCTAGGGTCCAACGTTTGGCCGCAGAGGCGTTCCCCAACAAGCAGGGGGGCGGCGGCGGTTGGCTGCGTGCGTCTTCGGTGATGATGTTGATGATGATATGATGCTGGCGGTGACGACTGGGAAAGGCGAAACCGCTCCTGCTTCGGACATCGAAGGGCAGCGTGTCCATGTGATCGCTGGCAAAAAAACAGAGACGATGACATCGAATGGGTGGGCGCGCCTGTGTGTTCTCCAAGGTCCGCGTAGAATGAATCAAAAACCAAGGCCGGAACCATGCGCGCAGCGAGCGGCGCCGAAGCGGAAGCGCCACCATGTTCGCGCGCCGTGCCGACATCAGGCGGCGTTCTTCAAGATGCCCCCCAGAAGGGAGGCCTCGCTCATGAAGTTTGCCAAGTCGAAGTCCGACGACGGCACCCGAGCATCATTTGCATCCTTCATCTTCTTCGTGCCTTTTGGCGCGAGGCCCGAGCGCGATTGGAGCCCCTGGTAAACAGTGTCTTTGTGCTCGGCAGGCACCTGGTGCATTTGCACCGCGGACCCTCCGTGTTGGAGCGCTCCGAAGCCAGCGGCGTCGGCGAACCGAATCATCAGGCGCATGGGGCCCTCGATGACCTCTGGGGTGGCCCCAGCGAACGAGGACTTGTTCTTGGCAGCCGCGCGCGGGTCCTGAGCGCTGCTCAGGATAGACATCAGGATCTTCTTCTTGAGCCCAGGCTCCCCCTCGAAACTGCCCTTCGCCAGCGGGGCCTCAGTGCGCATCCTTTTGCGAGAGCCTCCAGCCCCTGCCGCTGCCTCGTCTGCGGCCGGGGGCGCGGCTTGCGTGAGCCCCGACGCTGTCGCGGCCGAAGCGCCCAGCTGGCTCGGCGGGCCCGCGGGCGGAGGGGCGCCCGCCTGCGACGCCGGCACGCTCTGGCCGCGCACCTCGGCGACGAGAGGGGCCTCCAGAGCGCGGAGCTGGTCGAGATCCACCGGCTCGCCGCCGAGCACGTCCTTCAAGCCTTGGCAGATCTGATCGGCCACGCCTTGGCCCCCCTCCTCGCGCGCGCCCGCAGCGTCCTCGGGCGCCAACTCGCGCAGGTCGCGGAGGGCGACGCTGGGGCCCCACTTCATCACGCGGCCGGCGGCTCTCACGAAGCTCTCGCTGTCGGCCGCGCACGCAGCCGCAGCGACGCGACGGTCTGCGACGGGGAGGAAGCCCATGTGCGTCAGAATGACGCAATCCAGCTGCAAAGCCCTGATGTCGGCGTCGGTGGTGAAGGGATTCTGCGCGGAAGCTTTGACGTTCCAGTTGTTGGCGATGCTGCAAGGTCAGCATGGGGTTCACCTTAGACGCGACATCATGCCCCACGAGCCTTTCCGCAGACGCGAGGGTGGGGGGCGGCATGGGTGCGAAACGCGCGCGGGGCTCCATGAAGTCTTTGGTTACCTCCTTGGCGCGCGCCGTCATCTGGAAGTTCTTGGCAAGCCAGTCCCCCAACGCCACGGCGGCGTCAACTGATGGCCGCGTCACCTCGGGGGGAATGTGGGACGGGTCCAAGTCGTCCAAGAGGGCATCGATGTTCGCATGGGCATGCTTTCCCAAACAATCCACAATCTCCTCCCAAGTCATCTTCTGTACCTGGTTATCACTCTTGCCGGCCTTCCTCAGGGGGAATCCCACCACTTTCCCCCCCGCGTCGATCGGCGGAATGAACTGGGGCGCCCGCGCCATGTCCTTCCGGACGGCGGAATATCCGCTGCCCTCGTTTTCCCCCTTGGACGCCCGGGCCTCGCCGCGGACGAAATCGGCAGACTTGTTGAACTCGGCGCGGAAGTGCCCCTTGACTTCCGGGGCCCAGGGCAGGAAGTGCGCCCCGCGAACTCTGGAGAAGCGGTAGCTCGAGCCCCTCTCGTCACGGCGCTCCTTGCCCTTCGGGGACAGGAGAGACGAGACCAGCATGACCCCCCCCCCCAGCCCGTCCACGACGTCGTCGTAGGTCAGATCGTTGAAGTAATTCGGGTCGCTACCCAGGATCCGGGCAAGTTGCGGCGGGGGCAAGTCGGGCAAGATCTTGTTGACCACCGCGATGAAGTGGCCCACGAGGAAGCTCATCATGCCCTCTGTTGAGTCTGGTTTCTGCGCCTGGTCATAAACCTCCTCGACGTGCATCATGACTGCCCCGCGCAAGTGCGGGCTCCTGACGCGGAACCTGTTTTGGCTGCTACCGGGGTGATTATTGTAGAGGTCGTGGTGGTGGATTTGGTTGAGGTCATCAATGCCGCCGCCAGGCCCGCTGTCGAACGTCTGGGGCAGCCGCGTCTTCCCCTCGTGCAGCGCCAGGAACGCGGCATCCTCTTGCGCCTGCATGAACCCTCCAAGGCCAATGAAGGTACCCTTGTTGAAAATGGAATCCTTCTGGTTTCTTTTTTGGTTTGGGTTCGGTCTCCGGGTCTCGCTCATGCCTCTCGACAGCGGCGTCGTACCTCCGCTGGGCGCGGGCCTCTCCCACCTGGTCGTAGTAGGACAGGATCTGAACGTCGAACCACAAGGCAATGGACTTGCCATCTCCCGGCTCGCCGTGCTGCAGCATGAGCACGTTGCAGTGGCGCGCAAGGATCCCGCCGCACTTGAGCTGGACGGCGCCGAACGCCGTCGCAATGAGGAACAGGATGTGGACGTGCACGCAGGAGGGGCGCAGCGACGTCGCCTTCCCCAGCGCAGTCGCGATGGCCCGCATCACCGGCGACGCGCGCCGCGCGACCTCCTCGGGAAATGGGTTTTGACTCCCCATTAGGCGATAGGCTGCTCGGATCCCCCCCTTGGTGAGCGCGGGGGGTAGCGGGCCCTCCGCGGGGCGGGCCATTCGACGGGCGCCCTTCCCCGCCCCGGCGACGCCCGCAATGCGGAAACACAGCGCGAACATCAATGCGCTGGCAGGCGGCATGGCGGCCAGCAGCGCGGGCTTAACAGGGGCGGGCGGGCGGCGCGGCCAGCGGGCGGCACGCCGCGCAGACTCGGTCGATAAGGTCTGCGGCGGCGAGAGAGCTTGCCGCGGGCGGGCTCGGAGGGGGCCCCGTGGGGGGCGCGGGTGCCTCGTGGGGCCAGTTCGCCGAATCGAGTAAATGAAATGCCTAGTGGCGCCGCTCCTGGGCCTCGTCAAGAGCCGTCAGGTTTTCCTTCGGGCGGCCAAATGCATCGCTGGGGCGGCGCGCCCTTGCGCACGCGGCCGAGGGGGGCGACGGGCGGGCCTGCTGGCTCGGCGGGGGAGAACGATTTGGATTCGGCGATGCATCGACGATGGGTCGGCATGGGCCGCGCGGGGCCCGGGCCCCGATCGGCGTCGCAATGGCGACGTGAGGTCGCCCTTCCCCGCCTGCGCAAGCCCCGCCAATCGCCCCCCTTGGCGTCGCTCGGGCCCGCCGCGGCTTCGCGCGGGGGCGGGGCCAAGGCGGGCGCGCAATCGAGGTCGCCTTTGCTGCCTCGGCTGCCTTGGCCCAGATCGCCCCGCTCAAGCCGCCGGGCCCGTGCGCGGGGCCGGCAGGTCAGGGTCGTGCTTCAGGGCCCCGGCGGCGAAGCGGCGGCGCTTGCTCGCCGCCGCGCGCTGCAGCCACTCGTTATGGACATCGAACAGAATCCGCAAGCCCCGACGGGGGCGCCCGTCGGAGCAGCGGGGCGCGGCGCGCGGGGGGGGCGCCCCGAAGTTCTCGACCCTGGCCCCGCGAGCGTGACGGGCTCAGTCGGGAATTGCGAATCAGCCTTGATATCCACCAGTGGAGCTGGAAGTGGGCTCTCGCCATCTCGAGGCGCATGCGCGTCCGGGAGCTGGTCCGCGCATTGAGCTGCTCGCAAGCCTCCGTGTTCTTCAACGCCACAAATTTTTCGTTCGCCGGCTGCAGCGGGTCAACTTTCGGGAGCGCATTCAGACACCACGTGTGGATGTCCCTGTGGAAACCGTCCAGGACAATGCGCACTTCCTCAGCCAGCGATTTCGTCCACGGCAAAAAATCATCTTTCTTGACGCGTGCCATGGAGAGCAACTTGCAGGCGTTGTCGTAGCCGAGCCACCCGACGACGCAGCTGGGGCCCTGGGCGCCCTCTCGAGCGATCGAGAGGCCCAAAGGCGAGCGGGGGCTCCGCAGGGAGGAAAAAGGCAAACTTGGACAACGCAGCGCAGCTGCACTCGCGAGTCGCGCGGCGGGGGCCGCCCGGAGCTCTTCGGCGTTGTGTTGCCCCGCTCCTACCCCTTTCCTCCCTTCTGGGGATCCGCCCATCTTCGCGGGGCGCCAGATCGAGCAAAGTGCCCCGCTGCGACGAGGGTCCTTGTGGAGCCGCAAGGCGAAGGCGTACGCGACCACGATGGATTCGCCGCGGTTCAGCTCCATCCAATCCATGAGCCAGCCGCAAGACGTGACGGCCGTCATAATACCGCCAGTGCATCTCCGGACTTTTGTCGGAGCCTTGGAGCTTGTCGACGCCGCGGGCCAGGGCCCACAGCTTCTGTTCCTTGTCCAGCGCAAGCCAGCCGCGGCAAAGCTGGCGCTTCGCACCTGCAGCGTCGCCGCCGCCGCCGCGCGTGGGGCGACTCGGCGGCTGCGGCGCAGAGGAGCGGGCGGCCGTGAAATCGGGGCGGCCAGCTCGCTTCGGCGCGGGCGCCTTCCACTTCCTTGGCAGCCCTGCTGCCGCTGGTCGGCGGGAACGGGCCGTCGCCGCGGAAGTGCGACCGCGGCCGCGGCGCCCCCGGGCGCCGCCTCGCTCCCTGGCGGCCGCGCGGCCGCCCGCGCCTCGGCCGCGAGCAGCGGCGGCGGCCCCGCGGCTGGCGCCCCCTCGGCACGCTGGGTTCTGCGCCTTCGGCCAGCGCGTGACCTGTCGGTGGCTTTTGAGTCTCGCAGGCCGCGCCTTCTTGTCCCCATGGTCTCCATTTGCTGGAAGCAGAGACTTCTCGTAGGTTGCTAGCAGCTCTTGTGATACTTCTGCCCTCGGCAGGAAGGCGTCGAAGGTCTCGCTCGGATCGCCCGGGCCCGAGCAGCGCACCAAGTATTTCAGGGCAGACACTTCGCCGTCAGGGGCGGTCGCGGGAGCGATGCCCAAAAGCTGCGTCTGCGGGATGAGATTGTTCTGTCCAGCGCGCGCCGTCTGACATTGAGCGCAGAGGAATCGCCCGGCGGGGGCGTTCTTCAGACACCCCGTGCAGAGTTCCATCTGCCGCGTGCCCATGTTTTCGCAACCGCCCAGCCCGCCACATACGAATCGGCGCGCGCCGTATTTCCCGTCCAGAAGGACAAGGAGATCGCCGGCACACTTCGGGCAAGTGCGGGCGTGCTCGACGGCGCTCTCGACGTGGGCTCGGCGCGCGGCTGGCGCGAGGGCGAGCAACGTCGACTCCAAGCCGCCCCTGGTGAAAGACCACGCGAGTTCGGACGCGGCGCCGCCGGCAAGGCGGGCAGCGCGGTGCGCATGCCAAGCGTCCTCCAAGCGAACGCCATTGGCTCGTAGAAGCGTCAAGTCTTCGTCAGGAATCAGCCCTCGCTGCGCGAGCTCAGTGCGTTGCTCGCTCCATGCCAGAACTGCGGAATCGAATGTCCCCCCACTGTGGTGTAGCTCGTCCGCGAGGAACTGCAATAGCTTCGCGTCGACGGCGCGCCAAGCCTTCTCGCGCGGAACGAAGAAATACTTGAGGGAGCTGGACCCCGAAACGAGCTTGATGTTTATCATCTTCCCGTAAGTCCCTCGCCCGCTACTGCTGTCGCGCTTCTCGCACTGCCACTGCCCGAGGGAATGCGAGGCGCACTTGGGGCAGTATTCCTCCGAGAAGGAGGCGTTCTGGATCCCGGTGCCCATGGCGTTAACGCGGTGCCGGGTCTCCAGAACCATCTTGCCGCCATTGCGCCGTTGAACATTGAAGACCACCCGGCTGCTTGTCTTCGGTGCGCACTTCTGGAGTTCTGCAATGTGGCACCGGGGGCAGCGACCGTGAGTGGAGCGCACCTCAACTGTGGGGGCCGAAGGCACAAGCTTCTGCAGTTCTTTGAGGTACGGCTTGTTGAAATCAAAATCAACGCCCTTGCCGATGTCAAGATTGTGAGCGAGCTTCCAAATTACATTCGTCACAGCGTTGTCGGGCAACTCGACCCCGCGGTTCGCCCCGCGAGCACCCGGGCGAAAGGCGCTGCCAAGGCCGAGGGGGCCGCGGAAAGCACCCGCGCCACATCGCCGAAGGCCGCCGGTGGAAGGGGAGCGAGCGCTGTGGCCAGTGAGAAATCGCGCCCCAACGGGGCGCCTGCCGCCATCTGGCTCAAGAGAGCTTGGGCGCTTGAGCCGACGGCGGCGATGACCGGGGCGATGGAGGTGGAGACGACGCCCCTGGCGCGGGCGAAGGGCGATGCGGGGGGCCCTGGTCTAGTTCGAAGCTTCCCAACTCAGGCGCCCACGAGGCGTCTCAGCCCAGAAATCCACGGCCTTGTAACCCAAGACACCCCCTTCAACCCCGAGCGCCCTCCCGGGCACCCCCCCTAGTCCGTTGTCGCGCACGTCGTCTGTCGTCGCGTCCGCTGTGGTCGTCGTCGTCGTCGCGCCCGTCGTCGTCGTCGTCGTCGTGGTCGTCGTGGTCGTGGTCGTCGTCGTCGTCGTCGTCGGTCGTCCGTCGTCGTCCGTCGCCCGTCGTCCGTGGTCTGTCGTCCGTCATCGCGTCCGTCGTCCCTAGTCGTAAAACCACATCCTGTTCCTTGCCCCCCTCCTTCCCCGTCGTTGCTGGGCCTTCAAGGGGGGATCCATTTTGTGGATCCCCCCCGGATCGGCTGGCGGAGCCCTGGTCGAGCCCGTCGTCGTCGTCGCGTCGTCGCGTCGTCGCGTCGTCGTCGTGGTCGTCGTGGTCGTCGTGGTGGTCGTCGTCGTCGTCCGTCGTCGACCGTCGTCGTCCGTCGTCGTCCGTCGTCCTTGGTCTGTTGTCCGTCATCGCGTCCGTCATCCCAATAGTCGTAAAGCCACATCCTTCCCTCCCCGTCGTCGCCGGGCCTTCCAAGGGGGATCCATTTTGTGGATCCCCCCCGAGGTCGGCTGGCGGGCGCCCCGTCGATTGCGGCGTCGCCAGTTCGGGGCCGGCTCAGCCGACTGAGGGTCGGCGAGAGGCTTCATTCAGGGCCGGCAAGAAGCTGGCTGAGGGCCGGCCCCTGGGCCAGCTCGATCGCTGGCTAGAGGCCGGCTACAGGCCTGGCGGCCAGGCAGAGGCCAGCAAGGCCGGCTATCCGGCCGAGAGCCGGCGAAAAGGGGCAGCGCGCGATTTGGACGCCCGAAATGGGCACGGGAATGGGTACAACGCCCAACAACACATGTTGTCCCAAACCAACAGCGGCCGCTGTTGGGCAGGCGGCCTGCTGTCTCGAATGGGCGCAGTCCGCGGCGGCGCGGACAGCGAATCCTGTTCAAAATGAACAGGAACTGCTGTTGGGCATTGCAGCCATTCTTTCCGGCGGAAAGAATGGGGCGCCAAGTAATGGGGCGCCCGGATAAGAGCGGGGCTGGCTAGAGGCCAGCTAAGGGCTTCCTAAGGTAGAAGCCAGCTAGGGGCCAGCTCAAGGCCGGCGAAGGGCGCGCCAGGGGCAAGGCCAGGTAGAGGCCAGGCAGGCGAAAGGCCAGCCACCCCATTGGGTCCGAGGATCTCCATTGAAGATCCCGCCAAAAAGGCATTGTATATCTCCCAACTAGATCCTAGATCCTAGATCCTAGATCTGGACCGATTCCCTACAACATTATATATATAAGTATATATATACACAACCATATCTTTATAGCATATATATACATATATATATATATATATATATATATATATATAACACATATACTCAAACACATGCATGTGCCCTGCTAGCCGCAGCCTTTTGGCTGGGCAGCGCGCGGCCGCGCGCCCGCGCGGGCGCGAGGGGCCGCGCGCGCGGAGGCTCGCGAGGGCAGGCGCGAGGCGGCGGCGCGAGGCTCGAGGAGGCTCGAGGAGGCGCCGCGCGGAGGAGGCGATGACGCCGAAGAAGAAGCAGGTCGCCGCCAAGGACCCAACAATCGACGAGGCCATCCTGCAGGCGCTGCAGAAACACGTGCGGACGCCCGAGCCGTCGACCACACAGATGATCTCGAGGACCGCGCGGGCTGGGGGGGCTGAAGGAGGCATGGCGGAAGCGAGGAGGATCAGGAGGAGCAGCAGGAGGAGGGCGGAGAAAGAAGATGGGGAGGAGGAGGAGGAGGAGGAGGAGGAGGAGGAGGAGGAGGAGGAGGAGAGGGGGGAGGATGGGGAGTAGGATGGTGGGGCGACGGTGGCGGCGACGCGGATGGGGGGCCCCTCTCGTCCTCGCCCTCGCCCTCGTCGTCGTCGTCGTAGTCGTCGTCGTCGTCGTCCTCCTCCTCCTCTCCCGCCTCCTTTTCCTCCTCCTCTTCCTCGCCGCCCGCGTCCCCATTTTTCCATCCCCCCCCCCCCCTCTCCCCTCTCCCCCGCCTCCCCCCCTCCTCCTCCTCCCCCATCTCCTCCGCGTCGTCGTCATCATCCTTCCATTTTTCTTTCTCTTATTCCCCCGTCCCCGTTGTCGTCGGCATCGTTGCCCCCCATCGTCGCCCCCCTCCTCCTCGCCGCGAGGGTGACATCGACGCCGACCGCCTCATCGGGCACAAGGGGCTCATTATGGCCGTCCGATCAGCGGTCGAGCCTGCGGAGACTGCGAATAGGAAGCACCTCCAGCTCCTCTTGCAGAATCTCGGTGCCTCGATGGAGAAGGAGTGGCACTTAGACGACGCGCTCGAGAGCTGGGCGAATCAGACATCGATGCGTAGCCAGAAGGCTTCGCCCATTCCGAGGGTAGGAGATTGATGCGATGAGGTAGGTGATGGAGGAAGCGATGAAGGAGGGGGGGGCGGGTCGGGGGGGGAGCGCGAGGGCCGCGCGACAGCGCCCCGTGCGGGGCTCGCGGATCAGAGCATTGCTGAGGCACGTCAGCCAGACGGAGCTGAAGCACAGGCCGCTCGGGGGGCAATCCCAGGGATGATGGGGGCGAGGGTGAGGGGGTGATGGGATGGGGATGGGGAAGAGGGCAGGATGAGATCATGGAGGAGGGCCACGAGGGTTAGGACATGCATCTGCCGAGGGGGGTGGGGAGCGAGGGCGATGATGACGATGGGCAGGAGGAGGGGGAGGAGGATCCAGGATGAAGGAGACGGACGAGGATTTTGGACGGGGGGGCGAGGGTGATGATACAGTTCGTACGCGCACTCGTACGCCGTGTGAGTTTGCGCGTGAATGATGCCGCCGCCAGGTCGCGAAAGCTTCCGAAGTGGTTCAGCGATCACTCCAGCGAGGTCCTGGACACACGGGCCCAAGCGGGATGATGGGAGGGGGCGGGGGGAGGAGAAGGAGGAGGAGGAGGACGAGGGGGGAGGAGGGGCGAGGAGGGCGAGGGCGAGGAGGCGGAGGAGGTTCCGGAGGCCGGATGACAAGCTAGGAGGTGAGGAGAGGGGGCAGGAGGAAGGGGGTAGCGGGAGGGCCATGCCATCGCAGGAGGTCGACGCAACGTTCGCCGACGACAAGTCGGCTACGAAGTGCACGTGCCACTGGGACCGCGTGAAGAAGGTCCATCCGCCTGATCCCCCTCGTCCTCCCGCTCCTCCTCCTCCTGCTCCTCCTCGTCCTCCTCCCCGATCCTCCTTCTTCTGCCCCTCCTCCTCGGCGCCCCCTCGGTCGGTCGGTCGGTCGGCAACTAAGGGAATGAGTCTGGATCCCAATCGATGCGTGAGACGAGAGCGGCAGCAGAGAGAAAAAGAGAGCGGAGGCAGCGATCGCTGTAGCGGGCAAGCCTCTTCACGATGAAACGCGCCCCCCCCCCGCCCCCCCCCCCCCCACCCCACCTATTACAAAGCCCAGTCCCAATCCATGACGTGCATTTTAAAGCCCAGTCCTGGTGCAGGGAGTCGAGCCAGTACGCGTGGTAATAGACATCGACGCTTAGGTGGATCTCAACCACGGTCGGCAGGGGAAAATGACACGCCCAGGTGCTGGGGGCTAGTCGGGGTACTACCACCTGACAGCGGCGAAAAAGGGACCTCCCCCCGAATACATGCAAGAGTTACGGTGCTGCGCACACCCTAGCCACACCCAGGTGTCGGGGCCGTTGGGGCACTGCTGCCTCACGGCAGCGAAAAGGATTCCTTCCCCCAAACAGCGCTAAACATCCCCACCTGTCTGCGAGAGTTGTGGCGCCGCGCGCACCCAGGGGGGCAGTGAGAAACACAGCAACTTAGTGCGGGTAAGGAAGACCTCGCCACGGTTTCTATTGAGAGAGAGAGTGGTACCCATTTGAGCGTAGTCACGGCCCCTCTGGAACTCAAAGAAGGGGTCGAGAGGCACAAAGAAAGGGGCTACAATGTCATCTAAATCCCAAGGGGGTTCTCCTTCGCAATTGAACTGGCTCTGAATAGACACAAACACGGATTGCGCGAGAAAGCGGCAAAGTTGGGATGGGTACGTCTTCGCCGCAGCCGTGTTCCACCCCCCTCTCGCATCCCTGCCTTCAAGCACATAAGGATGAGCACGGTGTTGGCACCTCCCATGATGTGGCAATTCACGAATGAGCTGGCCCATCATAGGCACATTGATTCCTAGGAGAGACGTCGGTTTCTTCGCGCGCTGCCCGAACATGCACTGGTCAATCCTAAAAAGACGGACCCCAGGCATTCTGGCAAAACGAACCAACAGTGGGAGGTGCCAACTGCTAGGGACGTTGGGTCGATGTTCTGCAGGAGCGGGGTGCTCCATCACAGCCGGGAGACCTAGCCTCCACGCCTCCGCAAGGAACTCGAGCGTCGTGCGCAACAGAGCGTTGCCCACATCTACTTGGTCCTGTTCCTTAGGCGCAAGGCAGCCTAGCCCCCATAGCATGTCGGGTGACCTTAAGGGTCGAGGGTGAGGGCCAGGGCTATTTTCTGGGATCTCATTGTGGCGAGCAGCACTCCACGTCTCACACGGGGGCCCCGCCACCACCCCCGCGACCCACCCCTCTTTCATAAGTCGTAGCCAGAAATCCACAATACTCGGTTTAGACAGATCACCATAACGGCGCCCCCCTCCTCTTCCTCCCCCCCTTCCCCCTCCTCTCCCCCGTCCTCGTCTTCCTCCTTGTCCCCCTTCCTGCT